GAAAGGTAAGCATTTATTCACGTTGTTTCTCACGTTGCTTTTGTGAACGTTCAACTAAAATTGTCCTCCAAACATGAAGGTAAAAAGATTTCTACTTTACAAAACCTGTTTATTTTGTACAATGTACTAAAAAAGCAATTTTTGAAGTTACTTCGTGCGGGGTCGATCTTAGCGGTCCGTATTGCAAAACTCAGAGCGTTAACTGAACCAGTTAGAATTCTCCTTTTTCTTGCAGACCAGTCCAGCCACATAATAAAGATCGGTATTAAACAGTCATTATTTCAAACATCTTTATCCATCTATATTTCTTTCAAATTTATACATGCTTTCGTGATTTTCAGACTTCCAAAAGCTAACACTTTTTAAATACAATTTTTAACATACTGTTGATATATACAACGAGAAAGAAGTCACGCGACCTCCAGTTAATATTCAACGATTATACAAACTTACTTTCACCATAGGTGAATATTTATCACGATCAAACCGCGTTAATCTCTTTAGTACAGATGGTAACTCTATGTAGGTATTACTTGTTATTATTCCCATCAAAATCCAGAAATTAATGGAATATAAACTAACGTTCAACTCGCGAGCTACATGGTAGCCAGTTTGTCAATTATTTACGCATGCGCTGATCACACAAATTGTGAACAATTTGCTAGTATTTAATTAATGCCTACCGTTACTCTGCTGTGAACAGGTAAGATTTTAAACCTAAGAACAAAATGCCTCGTCCCTTTTAGCGGCGGTTTACGCTCAGTCAAATTAAATCTAAAAACGCGCTGTAATTCTGCTGATGACCAGTTTTCATTACGCGTCTTTCAATTATAAAATCTTTCTCTTTCAATTTTATGTACTCTGTGTGACTTAGGGTCTGCCCTTAAATTAAGAAAAAAAAAAACAATCTTCGAAAGTGACATAAAATTACTTTGCCATTAAGGCATACAGTTTTTTGCTTTAACTAATGGAGCGGAGGTCTCAAAACTACTAGTGAGGATTATTTTTAAATATTCTGAAGCACTTGTAAGGTATTTCTATCGAGAAATCAACACAGGATAACGCAACAAACAAACAAATGAAACTAATAAAACAACGTTCTAACGGTATTAATATTCCATGTCGAATGTTCAAAGCTTGTTGGTCACTGCCGTCAATCACGTGTGCTGACAGGAAGCCATTTTAAAGCACGACTCCAAAGATTCACGTGACCAATCTCATCCAAATCCTGTCAAGTGAAAGTTCTTGCATGGCAACTATTTTCTGTCGATGGCAACTAGATCAATCTGCTGTTTAGTGAGATTGTCCTGCTTGGAACTTAACCAAACTGTAATTTGCAGGATTTGATAATTTGTGTCAACCAAATGATTATTTGTGCCGACCGCACACTGAAGAAGATGAGATCCTTCTAAAGCTACGTTTTTCCCTCTGGTAAGGTCTTTATTTTAGGTTCCTTTTAAAAAGACTCATACCAACGAAACTGTGGAAGGTTCCAACGGGACCTACCACATGGTTAAGCTGATCTCGCCATACTGAGAGTCCCAGCGATAGAATGCCCTGGCCACACCCTTGCTGATCTCTAGCTGGCATCTCCATTTGCCATGATGACTTAGCGCTGTTGTGACGTGAGTAAACGTCTCCGATTCCAGACGATTTACTTCCTTGAACTTGTAAATTCTGTGTCCCACCTCGTTCGGAATGTAAGCGGTTCGTCTGCGATGCGCACAGCGCAGGCGGTAGAACAGTGTGACAGAATCGTCGTTTACCCAATCTCCTGTCAACAAAAAGCAAAAGTTGAAAACGAAGGCTGTAAATTTGGACGAGTGATTTTAGCCCAAGTGTATGGACTGCAGGGCCCAGACGACTTGTCTGTACAATAAAGGTTGTTAGTGTATACCACACCAGTGGATAGTGCTTTTTGCGCATTCTAATTGGTTACTCAAACTCAATAATGTTTGCTATTCTGAGCTGGCGCGGCGAAGGTCACATTTTGCGCGCGAACTTACGAAATAAAGACTTTTTGTAGTCTTTTGGGTCAATTTTTGCGGATATTTTATCCTACTAGTTTGGTATATACTAAAACAATTATTCCCCTCAGTGTCGGTGGCTAATGGTGGATATTTACCGAGCCGCGAAGCAGCGAGGTCAATATCCACCACTGGAAACCTCTACTGTGGGGAATAACTGTTAACTATCGTTAACGTGAATCGATTAGGACGTTTGCTATTCATTCTGAAATGTTGATGACAGTATCTCTTGCGGCTTGTTCTACAATGCCTCAAAGCGTACAGAAACTGGAAAACTTACTAAATAAATCTGTGGAATTTCTTCAATCATCCTACGAAAGGAATCGTGCTGTTTGATTTTTTTCGCCGCGTACTTGCGGCGCAGAATTTGTTAAGATCAGGCGTAATTAAACTCCTCGCTCAGAATTTTTCAGCAGTGGTGAGTTAGAAATAAGTGAAGTCTTACCGCCAACATGAAGAACATATGTGACAGGGGCAACAACTCTCACATGAAATTCCCCGTGTGCGGAAGTAACATCTTGAAATCCTGTCATGTGACTTTCTGAAATCCAGTGGCCTGAACTCACGTAGAACACTTGAGTAGGGACATTCCTTTCGCAATTGCATACCCTGAGGATTCGGTCAGACCCAGGGGGTCCCTGTTGACCGGGGGTCCCGGGCTCCCCCTTAGCCCCCGTGGGGCCCTGGGGCCCAGCCGGGCCTCTCATGCCCCTTGGACCTTCCTTGCCTCTCCAACCAGGGATTCCGTTCGTTCCATTGATACCGGATTCCCCGGGCGGACCCTTCTTGCCTCTCCGGCCCAATAATCCCGGTTCCCCTTTTTCGCCTTTAGTGCCTGGAATTCCGTTGAGGCCATTTCTTCCAGGAGGTCCGTTAGGTCCTTGGGGGCCTGGATGGCCGGGAATTCCTGTTTAGAAAAACATTTTTGAAGCGTAAATATCATGACAGAACTTCAGCTACTTAGCATGACTCCGACGTTGAAGGTGGAACTGGATTTTGTAGATTAGACATGTAATGAAGGGGAACAGAGAGGAGCGTTGTGTTACAGCATTGGAGTGGAGAAGAAGACCAGGTCGACCCAAAGCAACATGGAGGAGAAAGGTTGAGAGAGAAAGGCGCGCATTTGGGTGGCAGTCAAGGGGGACTGTCAGAGCTCTATCAGTAAATCGAACTGAATAGAAGAAGAATGTTCAGTAAAGCATTATTTATGGCATGGAGAAATATACGCTGATATAGGTATAGGTAGATGGATACTTAGAATGATTCTAGAAGTTGAAAACATACGTGAATCATAGGAAAACTGACAAGAGAAGTTTAAGCAAATGGTTTCACGGCTCGGCGCATGGATGTTAGCCCATGCGATTCCGTTGTTTATGCCACTGAATTCCAAAGCAGGGTAACTATCGCGGCTACTTTTGCGGGAAACTTTTGTTCTGGAAATTTCACCGTCAGTCGACTCCCATACACAACTCAATTTCATTGGTTATAAAACAATCCGATGCGAGTAGAAAACTCGTGCGTTTGTCCATCCACAAAAAATTCGGCGGTTAAATATCTCTCCTGGAGTTTTTTAAGTTGCTACTAAGATATCGGCCCAGCTGGGCGTTTCAAGTTGAGCTTTTCATGATTTCATTTCTTCGATTTAGAAATAACGTGTTTCAAGAACAAATGCCGACTTCTACATCACAAGAGGGCAATATCTATCTGTACTGGGTATATGACCTTATGTGGTATGGGCGTGGTTGAATAAGAACGGAATACGAGGAAAAATGCATTTAGCAACTTTGGTGAACGATGATTATGTAAAGATTTACAAGATAATGTTTAAGGTGATTATTTCACGCAAAAACAATCTTAGTCCAGAATGTGGGATTACGTACGTTAAAAGAAGCAATCGAACGTTGACTGTTAAAGAAATCACAAGTTGATTTTTCAAAGAACTGCAATTGAATTTGACAAATAGAAAATTGAAACAATCTTTATGCATCAACAGCTAAAAGCACATAGCAAGGTGAAAAACTGATTAAGCCGCAGGGTTTGATACTTTGCTTACCACTTAAAAGCAATTCTTATATGCACTGATTAGGAGAGTTAGAACGTGACAAGTAAGATGGACGAGACAGCTTGGCGACAGTGGGCCCGCAGAAAGATTCCTGAACACAAAATTACACACGAGGCAGCAAGCAAGTTATTTCCGGCACATTTTGTTGAAAATCATTCCGAGAGTTATACTCTGAACAACAACTTGATATAAATGAAATGGTTAACTCGAAAACTGTAGCGTTTGCCAAGCTACTTAACAATTTCGTTTGAAGCACAAAAGCTTTAAATGCATTCATTAAAAACCACCCTTTGATATTTGTGGCATATTGTCAAAGCCTTTATTTCTCTCAAGGTAGCTTGCTTTATGATTGAAACCTTCTTATCTGTTATCTATCTTTTATTAAAGAACAGGATTGCGGGAAAAATATAGTCTGTTATATTCGTCAAGGAAAACTTGTAAAACAATTCTTTCTTTTGTTTTCATTTTGGATAACTACTTGGAAAGTAACACTCAGATTTGAGAATTTAACTGTTGCATAGCACGTTCTCAGTTTTAAACGAGCTCAGTCACGGTTTGCGCATATTGAAAAGTTTAGCCTCAATTTTTCAAATTCGTCGTTTGTAATCCGTGTTAATCTTCTCCATCCTTGTTCCTTTATGGTTTATCATTATCTCTTTGGTGTTTTTCTATCTTATTAAACTGCACGTTTAAAGTGCGTGTTACACATTAGTCTCCATTAATAAAAACCAAATATAAAATTGCTCTTTAAAATATTAGATAGCTTCATTGAGATAAGCTATTTGTATTGCTTGGAAGGGTGTTACAAGTAAGTGAAACAGGAAATTGATACATTTTGTAAGCAATATATTCCTGATTAAAAGTCAGATGATATCTGATGAAGCACATTGCTATATTACAGGAGGGGTTTTGCACAAGAGTATAAAATCCGGAATGCTTTTTATGGAAAAGATACCTCAGATTCTCAGCAGCTGGAGTCCTACATTGTAAAATAAGTTTTGGACTTTTAACACAACTGATACATTCTCCAATTTTCAAACTAATTTAACACGGTAAGGAAACTTGGAGAATTTACTACCCAATGAGTTTAAAATCCGACCCCTACCATGACATGAGATAAATTCTGGTCTCATTGTACCGAAAGCAACGATTCATCAATTGTGGTTGTTTCATTTCAAGACATTTTGAAACGTGCTAGGTGTTCGGAAGCCGTGTATATTGAGCAACTCTTAAAAAAAAAAGACAGGAACCAGTGTGAAAAAGAGCAATGTCAGGAAGAGGATTGAATTGGATCACATTAGAAAAAGTTTTGATCCGTCCACGAAATCTCAAAGTTTGTTGTCAAGAAGACAAACTTCCGTAGGAAAAAAAGATGGCGACCGGTACATATTTATCCCTAATTCGTAGCGCAGGAAAACTTTCACAACGCTCATAAAAACGGACCAACCAAGTTCTAAAATCTTCAAACCTAGCATACACAATGTCGTTAGCACGGAGACGAAGCTTCAAGAACAGGGCTTTCCTTGTACATTATAGGCTGTGTAAGGTTCGCATGGTAGTGTGGTGAAACGCACAGCAGCCTTTATTTTTTTCCTCTGGAGAATTTATTAAATAGCATCCCTGTCAGAACCTGTACAGTTATAACTTACTGAATTATTTTTACTTACATCGTATGAAAAGCTTACCGTTTCTCCCTGGTGTTCCTGGAATCCCCTGAAATGATAAAGAAAGTGTGAGTTCCTAAAGAAGGAAAGACAAAAAAGGCGCAAAACTGACTCGTCAAAAGAGCTACGTCACGGTTTGCACGTCTTGTAAAGTTTAGCCTAAATTTTTCAAGTTCGTCGTTTGTAATCCGTGTCAATCTTCTCCATCTTTAGCCATCCTTGTTTCTTTATGATTTATTATTATCACTTTGGTGTTTTTCTATCTTAGCAAAGTTTTATTTTCAGGTTTTCTTCAATTCAAAGATAATTTTTTACGTGGCCAAAGTAACTCAAAATACTGTGACTGAGTTCCTTTTAGTCTAATATCAAGAATAATTTGATTCAATTGCTTTTTGTGAAGGTGAGACCGATTTTTAATCAATCAAAAACATGTACATCGTTGAACAGGCCATTTGCCGTTTATTTCTCGGTTGGTAGCACCTTTTTTTAAAAACACTCTTGCGCGTGCAAAAGATCTAACAGAATTTCGAAGCGCGAGCATGTGTCATTTGTTGAGTCATCATTGCCTAGGATATTTCAACAGATGACCAAACCACATCATAGTATAAAGATGTGCGCTGTGCAGAGTTAGTACGTGCTGGTTATAAAGGGATTACGAGGTAAGTCAAAACAGTTTACATTCACGTCAAGATCATGAACTTACAACGGGTTTGAAATCCTAAACACACGAGAGTCAAGGCTGGGTTGTTTAAAGCCCGATTAAACTAACCCAGAATTAGCGAGAACTTTGATGTCAGTTTTGTAAACTTTCGGTGAGAATTTCTGTTTACATTGCTTGTCGTTCTGTTTTGACTTTAAGTAATCTCAAACTACACAAAACATAAGCAGTGAAAAACCTTATTTTTTAACAAAAAAAATGATACTTCGGTTAACTTTTAATTCCGCGTTAGCGCTAACCGGCCATCGAACAACTCGGCCCAGATTAACTTTCAATCTCAACCCAACCGCGGAAACGTTCAAGTCTGGATTCATTCCGAAATCTTCCTTTTCTCTGACAATCTGCGATAGATTGAGTCGAGCAAGCCGTATTGTACCTAAAGTTACATTTTACATAAATTGACAAACTCTGGTTGAAAAGGATTTTCAACGCTATATAGCGCTCTTTACCGAAAGCATGACCTTCTTTAGTTGCTCAAGAACAGTATTCAGTCAGTTGCTTCAGTTACTGGGAAATTTCAAATATGCGGAAAAAAAACTATTTATGACGTTCCCCTCCCCTTGTTCTTCCCATTAACCCACCCCCAACCTATCCTCCCACGCTTTTTTTTTTTTTCATGGTTCAGTAGCTCACAAAAGGCCTTTGATAACAGCTTGCCGCTGCTTATCCCGTTTAACTGGTTAGAGAATAAATCTTTGCCAGTTAGGATCCACTAAGGTTTAGTATGTTATCTGGATGGAAGAACGTTAAGCGACATTTTTCAGTCAAAACTGAGTAAAACAAATGTTTTCGTCGGAAACATTCCGTAATGAAGGCGACTGTTGAATCTAACCCACACTGAGTTGTTGTGTTTATTTGCTTTCATTTATAAACAAATTAGGTTGGAAGAAATGAACTCCTTCTAAACTTTACCTTTCGAAAATAAATATTCCCTCGACATGAAAGAAGAGAGTTGAAAATATCGGCCTCGTGCGTTTCAGGTTTAAGAACTTTTGGTTTGATATTCATGGAAACTTTGTTCCTTCCAACTTTGATGCCAATTAGCAGCGTTTGAACCAGCCACAGTTTCACTTTCACAAAGCCTAAAGCACAATGTAAAAACCGCAAATGTATGCACCAAAGGAAGAGAAGGATCGTAACAAATAATAAGTCGAGCCATTTACGACATAAATCACTCTTGATAATGAAGGGTACGTGGAAGATTGAGCAGAGATCTGGTTTGTTCCAAAATTATAATCTTGATACGTTACGTTGCGCTAACACAGCATGCGGTTCGCAAGGAAATACAAACGTCATTTTCTTTACTTCTTTCAAATCACAAAACTTGGCTGAAAGAGCGGAAAGGTTTGACGACAATAAGGTTGCGCAAGTGCCTTTATCAATAACAATCTTATAAAGGAAAACCGCATCTTGATGGGATGAACTCGATAAAGTTTCCTTTGCCTTTCACAACATGAAAGGTTTACTTGCTGATTTACTCTTTCTAGATTTTAGCATAAAAAACGCCTTCGCTCACGCACTGCTCATTCCTTATTGATCAGATAATTTTACCAAATTAATTAATCTCTTTTTGTTGGTGGGGTGTTAAACGAACATTTACATCAAACGAACACTGACTTTGATACCGCAATGCCAAATTTGCCAAGGTCATTCCGTGACAAATATCTGCCTTAATCAAACATGTGAAACTTGTCGCTTCTTAGTTTTTCTCTGGAACTGTTCTCAAGTAAACAGTCTTACAAAGACCATTTGCTGGCTGACCAAATTAGCACGTTCGTATTGTTTTGCCTGAGCTGACAAGTTGCTATCAAAAAGGCCGCTCTGAACAACATTGTACATTTCTCTGCAAAGAGCGTCTGAAACCTTACCCTTCACGAGGGATGTTCAATGTTACACGAACTCGAAATATCTTCAGCCAGCTCGAATATTTACTTTCCGTAAAAACATCCAGCTTCTTCGTCACAAGGCTGTTTGATATTGTATTAGAACAACGACGATAAATACGATGTAGTTCACCGCTAACGTTTGAAAAGGATTTCTTCTCGGTTTTCTATCTCAGTAAGGAGACCTTGCTTTCCAATAAACCCAGTAAACTGCGTCACAAACTTTGCACACTGGGTAAACTTGAAGTACATGGAAGTTGTACGCGGCAAGAATATTAATTTTGCTCTTCAACTAGTGTGATCCGCTTTAGGACAAAAATAACTAGCAGGGTCAAGAGCTTGTGTTATTCTATATTGGAAGCGTGCTATTGAGTAAAAGTGGGTTGTTTCATAACCAGGTTAGAAGAGACATTAAAAACATCTACGTATGACAACATGGATGCGAAAATCCACTCCACGAAAAAAAATTCTTCCGCGCTGCGACTTCTTTGCACGACTTTGCTGAAATAATGCTTCTTTGTTTACAATGCTGAATTTTAAACAGCCTTACGTTTGAATGAAAGAGTAATAAATGTTTTTCTACTCACACAACAAGTTACGCTCTTGCAGCGCGAATTTCCCTTCTCAATGTCAGTGGAGTTAGCCTCTTGGCACAAACTGGGAAAGAAAAATGCGTGTTAAGATTTCGTGAAAAAGGAAAAACGTAGTTTTTCTTCCAGCTTGAGTGTGTTGTTCTCTCTTATCTCACACCTCTGTAATTATAGTACCGTAAGACTCCAAGGTTTTCTCGAACCCTTGTACTCTGAATGTAGCTAGAAACGTAGCAACCACATGTTGAACGGAAGTACTAACCTTAATGTTGGAAGTCGCAAGCATGTTGTGGCCAGAAGTAGTAATATTATCTGACAGTTTCCCAGCGTAGCCATCCTCGCATACAACTTGTAGCGTATCAGCTCAGCTCACCGAGTGTCTGAAATTAATTCAAAAATTCGCGTTGTAGATCACTGCCTTATTACCGTAATAAATTCACTTCAAAAATCACCGGTGCAGAACCGCCAAGCCTATAACCAGGCGAGAATACTGAACAATACTGAATTAAATTTCTAAGACATTGTGCGTACAATTAGTTTGGTCAATTAGACTATTGCCCTTGGCTGAAGTTCACCTTGTAAAAGGCGAATATTTTCCTCCTGGATATATTATTATCGCCGTGAGCTCAGGGAAGACATGACCTTATGTAAGCCCTTTCCCTGTATCGCAAATTTGATGGATGTCAGTCAGTGCGGATAGCGTATGTATTCGTTGAGAATGTCCAATACTGAAATGTTATTCCGTTGCCAAAAATGCTTGCTTTTAGCTTTGTCACGGAACATGGCATGTTTAAAATCCCGCAAAAGTAACCGACTTTTATGCCACTGTGATCCTTTTGAATGAATTTGCAATTATTATACACACCTCAGTGGTAAACATTGTGCGGTGTGTTTTTTTTCTCGTGCGAATTAAGCTGCGATGTTGTGTTCGTGTGATGTGGATCCACTGTAGGTACTTAGCTTAACACTTCTACGAAAAGCTTCTTTGATAAGGATAATAATCCGATTTGAACCACTTCAATAGATTCATTTGAACAAAAAATGAAAAACGTAATTTTTTAGCAGACTTGCAAGCAATACATGTATGTTGAGGAATTAATTTCAAGTAAACATTGATGAAAGAAAACAGTTGTTCAATGGGTTGTTTTGTAAAACATTGAACCCAAGGGACAGAGTAGCAATACCTTCTCGAATCTGCTAACTAAATAAATTAAAATTAATCTTTGGTGATTAACGTGCCATTTTTGCGATTTCTTCCTTTAAACAAAATGGTTTGAAAGAACGACAGTGTTAATTTTTGTGATGCTTCTATTGGCAATTATTTACTGCTGAGTTTCGATGGATACATTGATTTAAACAGAAAACAAAAAAAAAAGCTTTACACCAGTCAAGGACATAAAAGTAGAAATGTCTCATTTGAAAAAAATTCATCATTTCCTTCAGTTCAGCGATAACATCTTCAGTCATAATTTCGAGATTTCACAAGTAGGGTACCGTCCACAGCGCTTGTCCCGTCCGGGGAAATTTGAAAACGCAGCTTATTTCTACAGTTTGGCCTACCGTCCACACTAATCCGTCACGAAAACGGAGCTTTTCGAAAATGCTTTTCAAACCGGAGGAATTTGAAAACGACGACTTTGCGTTTTAATGTAGACGGAAAACATTTTGAAAACGGAGCTTTTGGAAAAGGATGACGTCACGATAATAATCGTGAGATTTCCCTGACGGAGTTTTCCTCAAACACAAATCCAAAATGGCCGGAGATTGTTTCGTTTTCAATTCCTCCGGCGTAGTGTGGACGGAGACATTCGATTCGTTTTCAGAGTTAAAACGTCGTTTTTAAATTTCTCCGGCGTAGTGTAGATTGGGCCTAACCTAAGACTGATTTTTGAGTTTTCACCAAATTTGTTGCTCACTTCTTGCTCATTGTCAATCAGCCGTATTTCGTGGTTTTAAAATTTTACTTGCTATTTTCAGACCTTTTCAACTAGCGGGTGGACATACTCAAACTCATATTTTATGTTACTGCAAAAGTCAATTCATGCTGTACATTACAGCAATGAACCCTTCAAATGGCAATAAAATAAACTGTTTATTTGGAAATTAGATAAACCAGCTAAAACGTAAACTGAGAACACTCGTACCTTCTTGTGATGGCAAGTAACTCTCTGTCTGACGTAAAGAAATAAACACTATCGACTCCTCTGCCTTATAGACAACACTCTTAGAGATTCAGTCCTTGACGGCGACCTATCATAATTTTTATAAATCTCGCTCGGAAAATGTAGCTTGAAAACTCATTTTGTGACTACTAAACCGAGACCGCTGAAAAGCGTACGAAATTTAGGATGGAAACTAACCAATCAGCAAAAGGGAAAGTTTCCTGAGGTTTTCAAAGTTATTGGTTTATGTTATTGGTTTATTAGAGAAAAAGATCGCTATCCTTTGTTCTCAAGTAATGTTTTATTTGGTTGCTGCGCCTTTCAATAACTCGCGGACTTCAAAATTCAAAGCTCAACCGACAAATGTGTTTCTCGCTACGGTCAATCAAATGTTAGGCGGCTCCTCCCAGCTTCCGACTACTGCTGAGCGCACAGTAATCGAATCGTTGAGCACAGTTCAGACAACGAAACAGTGGTCGGCAGTAGTTGGAAGCTGGGAGGAAGCTGGGAGGACGCCGAACATTTGATTGCCGAACATTTGATTGGCGGTAGCGAAAAACGCATTTGTCGGTTGAGCTTTGAATTTTAGAGCCCGCATGTTATTGAAAGGCGCAGTAACTCTTTTTCCAAGTGGCCCGGTTCGAGTAGTCGCACTGTTTTCGATGGGGTCATGACTAATTAAGTGTCCCTCATGACAAGAGTCCCTTATGAATTTTTTCCAGTAGTTCATTTTCCTGATATAATCAACAATGTTCTTTCTTACTAGTGTCGAGGTTTAAATGTGCGACTGATGGAACGAAGTCTAGTTATGGAGACATTGAAAACCGGTGCAGCATTGTAGATCCCGGAATATTGTATTGCATCAACAATTGCTTAAGCAACCGATGTCGAAATTCTTTGTTTTCTATGATTCTTTAAGGCGTTATCGGGCTCATTGTTTATTGCCACTGGTTATAGTTGTTGAAGCGTTATGGTTTTTTGAGTGTTGTTGCCATCAAGTCCAGAATTTTTCTCAGGAGGAGGTGCACCACTAAGATATGGCCTAACTGAGTGTTTTTTTTTTGTGCAGAATACCAGTTACATTAGAAAGCCGTATGTCATCTCAGGGGGGAGGGGCTGCGCACCCCCTGCACCCTCCCGCTAGATTCGCCCCTGAAGTTACTGGTATGATTAGTAATTATCCATTTTATCGTACAGTTAGTTAGATACGCCCTGCGCTCGGCTACTGTACTGATATTTGAATTTCCAATTCGGCCGAAATTTAGATATATTATTTTCAATATTTACGATATAAATCCAGAAAATAAAAATAAAAACGAGTTATATCCTAGGCAACCCAGCGAGAGGTTAGATATTCAGCTAAAAATCAAAATATTTGATTTCATTGTCCATAATATTACAAGTAATGAAAAACTGTATATAATCTACGCTGAACTTTATTAATGCTGCTACGCAATGAATCAAGGCAGGTTTTCTTTAAAACTTTAACAAATTTATGCGATCGGTTGAATGATATAACCTACTACGTCCTAGGGCGCTCTTTACACGATCCCGGGTCGCTTTTCACCCCGGGTTGAATCATCGCGGCGGGTAACCCTTTTGCAGTCAAATGTTTATAAGCGTTTAAATGAAAACAGTAGTCAAGCCGGGTCAGCTCCCCTTGCCGGGTAACCCTTGTCGAGACCCGGGTTGATCCGGCGAGAGGGGTCGAAATTTCTTCAATTCTAACAGTGGGCCAAAACCTAACCCGAGTTGGTACTTTCAGTCAAATGACCATGTTGTTGTTGTTGTTTTTTTTTTTGGTTTGTACATCAGGACCTCCCACAATTCCGTTATACTTTCTAGGTTTTTTGTTTGTCATCTTTCCAGGCCATGTTTTAAGTTTTTGATCGGTAGAAAGGTTGGCCCGGGTCAGGCTCGAAGCAAACCACAGGCCATTGCAGACTGACAACCCGGGTTGGTGTAAAGTGTTAATTTTTAGCAGTCTCTGTGGTGATTCAACCCGGAGTAAAAAGCAACCCAGGGTCGTGTAAAGAGGGCCGTAGTGCTAACTCCATACACGAAACTTTATAATACTACTTTCTCGGTTTTGTCTGATCGCTGTACTGCTCCACCTGATCGAAGCTATGAAGTATTTGGTACTACTATTTGGCCAGAACATCGCCATAACAGATTTAAACTACCCTTAGTATTTTAATTACTTCATTGTGTCGCTTTCTTTTACAAGCGCTCCCTTATCGCTGCAGTTGGCGCCACGTTACAAGGTGCCAACGAGACTGAGAAAGTTAGGGCTTTGTTTCATTCATTTATGCCTTTATGCGAATAATCTCACACTGTCATGACCAATCTCGCATGTTTCACATTACCTTTTTGCTTTGTTTCGAATTATAATGGTCACTATCTCTGGAATTCTATTCAGTGTAATTCATGATATTAAAATAGCCAGACGAGACGGCACTTCCAATGTTTCTTATTTGCTCTGGAGTGACTCACAGACGGAGACTCATTGTTATAAATACAAACCACGGTTTCAAATGAAAAAAAAAAAAATCAGTAATAATTAGAAGAAAGTTAAGGAGTTTGCTATATAATTTTCAAATGGAAGATAATACACTCTGAAGCACTCAAAATGATTTATTTGTTGCATCAGTTTGAACTCGCCAAAATTGCGACTACAGTGGGTTTGTCGTCGCTGAGTTTAACTCAAAATTCTCCTGAGTTCCACAAAGATCTAGGAGGGCCACGAAAGCCAAATTCCCTGTTTGGTCGACAAGTGTGCCCGCCCTTGGAGATTAACAACTCTTGGCGGCTACTTAAAAAAAATCTTCCACTCAATTATATCGCTCAAAGATCTCAAATTTTAAAAGCATTAGCAATTGAAAAATGCAAATAAACTATTGTGAATGCCAATACATTAAACGCTGATGCTATATTAAAACAATATAAATAGAGGGATCAAGATGACATGGAAAATAAACACCGTATTACATTTAGTTCGATCTGATTCTAAGTCCTGCCTTCCAACTTTGCACAATTTCTAAAGACGTTTGCAGATTGCAATTTCAGTGAATACACTTTCGCCGTTTCCAGTCGCTGATCCGAAAAGCCAGAAGCACCGCTAATATCATTAATAGGGATTATTAATTGAAGGACCAAAACAGTATCGTAGCAACCATACAGTGTGTGGTATGTGCGGGTAGACTGAGCGAAAACAAAAATTCTACGCCATAACACTCGCCATAAAAAACTTTTACGCATGGATGTCTTCGAAGAACTCAGTGTTAAGTTTTTCGCACTGGTATTTCGACAAGAACAACGATACGGTTATTGCGTAAAATACTAAATGTTTTGTTTTAGCTTTCTATATCAAACAAACACAAAATTGCAGCAAAATTGTAGAACAATATTCCAAATTAACAGAACTTACGTCGTTTATCATCCATCCCTTTCGAATGTTTGTGGGCAGTTTGTGCATTTGTCCGCCCATTGACCGAGAGCCGTTGCAATGACGATATAAGGAATAAAAATCAAGTCATACTTACTGATACTAATAAGGCGCTAGTCTTTGAGGTAAATGCTCAACATCTGGGACTTGAATTTAACTCCATACTTCATTCCATTGGTGACCGACACACAACTCATATCTACGTAAATCGAATTCGAACAGTTTGTCGATCATGTGACCAACTGATTGAGTGATTGCGTAAAAGACTGCTGGATATATGACGAGGCGATTTTGTGTGAGGCAGAATTAGCAAAAAAGAACCTGCCTACACTATAGCTGTAAATCAACTAAATAAATGAAAGCTAATGGAATTCATTGTTCATGACATGTCCCTATATCATAAAAAAATTAATGAAACGTAGTAAAAAAAAAAAAGAATTGATGCAAGCAACAGTGTCGTAAAAAAAATCATGATAATGATGAGGTGCTTTTGTCATCTCGATCTTAGGTTATTTTTTTTTTCTCGAATACAAAAAAAAACTGCTCTGAAAATCATGTCTGTGATGGGGCGTGCAGAGTCGCATTTCTTATTCTCTCCGCAAACAGCCAAGTAAATTGCAAACTTCTGTCATACTGAATGTTTCCATTCACATGCAGAACCTAAAAACCCGATGACATTACCATAATTATTGTTGTCTTTCAACAGGAAAGCGGAATGCTCAACCATTTTGCTCCAGAGGTGATTCAATCAAACGTTTCTGTACTCGATTAAATGTGGTGTTCTCTCGGTACCATTGACAAAAGCAAGCAAAGTAATACAAGAGTGAAAGGACTCCTGACTGAGATTAAAACCGCCTACCTCACTATAAAGACAATTTGGCACAGAAAAACCATGGTGAATAGAGAATGATCTTGCTGCGACTGAAATCCTTTCCATCTAAGATGAGATTTAAATTACCTCCTCCCACTCGGTCCAAAATCTTGTACAATATAATTCGCAAGATAAGATGGCGCCCTTAAGGCCAGTGAATGCACCACTTAAAAGCAATTTAAGAACAGTTTCAGAGCATACCTTACATGCACATAGCATATATTGTGCTCAAATACTGGTACACATTCAAGGCTGCTCCTTTGCAAGAACGCCACTCAAAACCAAGTACAAGTATGTCTATAGATAATTATTACTAATAGATAATCATAGATAAGTATAGATAATCATGGAGTGTTGTTGATCTGATACGGCCTCAGTTAAGCTAGATTTTTTCCAAGCTCGATTTTCAGCCGTTATGAGAGTCGAGTTGTCATCCTACTCCCATATTGGACATTTATTTGCTCTTTATGTTTATATTTTAAAAATCATTTACTATCACTGTTTTATAAAATAACTGAGCTACTACGCGCCGTCTCATTGGTCGATAGGTGTGTTTAGATGAGGTTATGCAAACACGGTTGTGACGTTTTAGATTCGCGCGTATTTTTGAGAAATATTTTATAAAAGCGATAGAGCACTTTTTCCGTGTTTACATAGCCTCATCTAAACACTCGGGAGGTTGGGAGAATTCTCGAAAGTTATGCAAACCCTCGACTACGTATCAGCTTTGCATAACTTTCGAGAATTCTCCCAACTCTCCTCGTGTTTAGAAAAGATATTACCTTGATAATCTCTTGGTTTAGATTAACGCTTAATTAACGACTAAAAAAGTATTTTATCGTTATTTTGTAAATTGTGTTTCCTAATCTCTCATTGGTTATTTGCTCGACGACATTTCTTTGTAAAAAAGTTCAATTTCCCTGCTTTACCTTCCACTGTGTGGATTTTTCCTTGTAACTTGCATCCGTGAAATTATTAAACTAAATATCATGATAAACCACTTCACAATGGCCTTTTGAATCGGTTTTTAACAATCAGTGTACTGTTTCTTTTTTAAACTACGTTTCCGTTCTGAAATACGATTACATAAAACGCCCATCCTTACGAAATGAAAATTTGAATGCTAACTTAATTGGAACCCTATCTAAATCTAAACTTAACTTTAATTTTCACAATAAATTGCTTCTTAGTTTTTCTGAAGTGCATACAAAGATACAAGTGCCTCTTAAAGAAAAGGATCTTACAGTGTGAACGGTCACATTTCGCTTCATTAAACACACTGAGACAGTACTCACAGGAAACCAGGTATTTATTCGATCTTTTAAGTTGTAAAGCAAATATATGTATAGTCTAGAGAACTGTCCACTGTATCACGCGTTTTCATTTTTTTTAACACATTAAAACATGCATGGGAATTATCTCCATTCATTCCTGCTCAATACAAATTAATGCAAAGACAGGCAAAGCAATTTTAAATTTGCTACAAATTAACAAGTGTAAAAAACATTGAATGCCTTCGTGATCAGAGATTCTCGCAAAAAGGAAAACAACAATAACAACAACAACAACAAACACGTGCATACGTCAGTCAGGGCACACGGTCACCCGGTGGCCAGGCGCGTGCCTGTTGTCTACCGCCATTCAGTCGGATTCTAATGTATTTCACTGATCCCGTTGAGCGATAGCATTGTAGCTGCCTGTTTGTTGATCAAATCACCGATGAAAGATCATAACACCAGAAATTGAACTTTGAAGTATATTCAACTGTCGGGAGGAAATGCTTTCGACATTATGTGCAATGTTCAACGTGGTTCTCCAAGTTGATCGTAACCTCTACCAAATGCAACAAACACGCTCTATTTTATACGGGGTTCAAAAATGCCAAGGCAATACAGTGTTAAAAAATAAAAGACCAAAACAGACAAAAAAACACGACGCCGCGGCGAACAAGCTAACATAATAAAATTAACAAGGTTATAAAAATGCGAAAAATGTCAATTCAAACATTTTAAAATGTTAGTTTTGATGTGTGTCCCATTTCTTAGAAGTTTAGGTTATTCTTCTTTTCATTCCAAATGGAGACCTCCCCCAGGTAGTAGTAACTTTGCATTTCAAACTACTTTGTTTAAACTATGCAGATTTCATAGTCCTTCTTAGCAGCAAAGAGAAGTAAGCTTAAAGAGTCGCTTGTTTTTTATGATGAAAGAAGCAGGTTATATTTGCACGATAGCCAGTCTATGACGCGAGCAGGGTGAGCCACATTAGACGCATGTGACAACTTGAAGTCGTACCTTCCTATCGGTCCTTTGTAGGAGGAGATGCTAACTTGTTACAAACCCTTCCGAAACCGAGGACTTACTTTTATCACTTCCATCTTCATTTTGTTTTGGTTTTTTGTTTAAAAAAAAAACCCTAAACAAAATGAAGAAGAGAGTGAAAAAACTGAGCTGCCTAGACACAGAATCAAAGACGAGCAGAAGTCCATGGTTCATCGATTCTATGCAGACTTTTATATTGACTGCGTACCCAGGCCTTCGTTTTTTGGTTTTGTTTTTATTTTTCTTAGGACAAACAACCCGGGAAAAACGCCAATTCCTCTCGCGGCACGGCACGCTTGGAAAAGCTTATTTATCTGTTGTGATGAGCCTAGCTATGTAGCTTGTTCCATGACGCCTGCAGTTTACGATAGACATGTTCTTACCTTGAAGATGCAATACTGCAGTACACTAGTACTTAAACCCCATATGGCTTTGTCTAGAAGACAATGTTTTTATCGTTTTACAAACTACTAGCACAGCAACAAATAAATCCTCGCTTAAACTATAATCTGAGGCGCGGTGGCCTCATGGTTAGTGCGCTCGTCTCCGGATCGAGCGGTCCGGGTTCAAGCCCTGGCCGAGAACATTGTATTCTTGTGCAAGGCACTTCACGAGTTCCAGTGCCTCTCTCCACCAAGGTGTATAAATGGGCGTCGACGAATTCAATGCTGGGGGTAACCCTGCGATGGATTAGCATCCCATCCAGGGAGGAGTAGAAATACTCCTAGTCGCTTCATGCTACTGAAAGCGGAGATAAGCGCCAGCCTAATGGGCCACTTGGCTCTGTGCAGACTTTACCTACTTACCTAAATTATTGATGTATTTTGCGTCTACGCAATGGAACGAAGTGAATTCCATGATTCATATCTGTTGCCGTTAGTCTGAAGCTTTTAAGGTTATGCGCTAGTTTATTCCTCTGTGTTGTCAACATCCGTTATACCTAATATAGCCATTCAATTTGCTTTATACCGACCGGCCAAATGAAGTTACGATAAATTAATTAAGTGTAAATCTGTGGTCAACAAAAACTAGTTATATTACCCGTGGTAGGCCGGTACAATGGCGACTTTTACAATTTACAAGCTTCTATCGAGCTTCTGAACAGTTTTTTACCCCTTGTTCAATACACCACGTTCGGTATATCGATATTCCAACGTGGCTCCAAGGCTTTCGGGTCAAAATTGTAATTTTTTAAGTTTCTTTTGTCTCTCAATTCCCAAAAGAGACTTGAATACATAGAAAACAACACCAGATATAGAAGTTTGTCCTGAAAGCCTCGTAGCCATGTTAGAATATTGATATATCGAACGTGGCCTATTGTACGCCGAGTATCGTAGATTTATTCACCTCATCAAAGAGGTTTTGAGATATTTCAGAATTACTTAGACAACGTACGTCATGTTATACCGAGCTGTGACAGTCTGTGATATTTCCTTTACAGTAGGATACAATACTGATGCAATTTTTCAATATCTGTATTCGTTTTAATCCAAACGTGATTCACAATAGTTTTTCTTTTTCACACTATTTTCAATATACAACACACAATAAAAACTACTTTAAAATTAGTCAACGTCTACTGGGGGAAGAAAGACAGAAATCCCAGAGCCCACAAGGGGCTCCAAAGTCACTGAAAGTCCAGGGTCCGACACAGATTGTCTTGAATTCTTTGATGTAAGTTTTCCTTTCATAAGTTGTCCTTTAAGTCTCTTGTCAGTGTTCATTGGCGGTGTCTGCGATCCTAAGTGTACAGCGGTTCCTGACGCGAACAAACTGAGTTCTCCTACAGACTGCAAGGCAATGATCATATCCACATGTTAATATGCGCTATAAAAGTGCCATTATTATTATTATTATTATTATTATTATTATTTATAACTGTTAGCAGTACTTACAGACCTTCTAAACATGATAACTAATCCAGTACGGTTACCCCCTTGAGGCATATTGACGGAAATGCTCTACTTTGAGTTTCTTATTTTACAATCTTACAGGTAGACACCAATTTTAACTGGTGTCATTTGTAACATTGTACAGGATAGAAATGATGCTTTCAGAAAGCCACTTACTAACGCTTACATGCAGCAGAGGCAGTATCCTGACTCTCCAAATCATTAGCTTTATGCGCTCCATAGAAATTGGACAAATTAGGAAAATCTTGTTTTTAGGCAGAAAACAATTTAAGACATGCTTACTATATAGTTTCTGAACACGTTCAACTAGATAGTACGAATTCAGTATCAATCAGGAACAGCTGCCGTTTCGGCAAATCTTCGTAAAAACATCCGAGGTTTCCAATTCTCTAAACCCAATCATAAAACGTACAGCACGAGAACTGCCGTTTACTCTGAACATTTTCTGGTCAGCGTGAAGCAATAACGACAAGTCATGCAATCTCGTACCCAGGATCCTCAGTGCGATGGGTCAAGCACCATGCCAACCTCGTTCTCAGGATTTTATCTCTTCCCAGGGAGAAAAGAGATAGGACCCTGGGAACGAGGTTGGCACCCTGAGAACGAGATTATACGTCGTGTTGCTTAGCAACCATTCTGAACAAGACCAAGGTTCAGGTAGTCTCCTCAGCAGCCGTTTTTTGGGATGTCACGCAACGCTCCCCCCAACGTTCCCCCTAATTGCTTGACATCCCAAAAAACGGCTGCGGAGGAGACTAAGGTTCAGGCAAACGCTCTGCTACTTACACTGCTTCGCTGTGATCTGTCCAGTTTAGGTTTCTGCCGCCTAGTATCACCACTTGAACTTCTATTACTGTTCAAACTCTGGGGTGGCATCGGTGGTTTAGAAGAATTCGCAGGATTGAATGTTATGTTGTGCCTGGTGAACGTCTTAATTCCAGGGGATGTATTTGGTACGACTCTCTGTCGAGATCCTATCCTGTCCCGTCCCGCTGATGACAGTCGAACAAGATGGGCTACTGAATGCTCGGGATGTATAGTAATGCGAAGTTCATCCAGCAGCGGAGGTTGTACTGTTGCCATCTCATCAGGCGTTCGGATGTTTTCGTTGGATCTGAAAAAAAAGGTTGGCTTCACACGTGCAATATTCTAATATATAATATAAAATCGTTGAACTGGACTTTGGTAAAATATATTTAGCTAACTTGAACATCAACGGCTTAATTATAATAGAGACTGTCTATAAGCTTCTAAAGAGACACGAACAGAGAATTATGCAAGGAAAGCAATTCTTTATTAGTTTGAAGGAAATAATAAGGTGCACTGTTCAACTTAGGGACGGACCTTATTTTTCTGCAGGGGGGAGGGGAGGTTGGGCAATTCCCCCCCCCCAAAAAAGAAGAACAAAAAAGTCCTGCACATGAAAAACTGCTGAAAAAAATCCTGTAAGGGGAGTCATGGGAAAAATCTAGCAAGTGATTTCCACTGTCCAGGTCCTGTGTTATACTTTAAAAAAATTCCTGCACAAGCTATTTCCCACCAAAAGCAATCATGCACAACCTAAAGGTGAGAAAATAATTTAATGCCCCAGAAAATTGCCCAACACTCGCCCCCCATCTCCCACCAAAAATAATGGTTCATCCCTTAGATGTGTGTCTCCCATTGATAATCAAAACTCTCAGCAATCAGAAAGGAAACAATAATTGTAGGTTTATTTTGATTGCCCCTTAGTGTTCTGTTCTTTCCAAAACTCAGAGTCCCAACTATTAGTTTCTTACACTCACCTTAATCTGCGGTTACTTTGTGATGCCAACAATCCAGACCCACTGAGAGTAAAACTGCTTGGTAAACTTTTAGCTGAATCATTTCTTTCACTGAGTCCTTTTAATCTCTGTCCTGATCTCTTTCCAACCCCGCCCAAGACTGGAGTACTATTTGAACCAGTCATAACATGACCCACACCAGGCATCACATGCTCATTGGGCTGTGGGGCAGTCACAGAAGCTGCAGAGGTAACAGACCCAACATAAGAGCCATCTACAGGACACTGAGAATGGGTTGTGAGCCAGTTATCAATGCAGGTGATGTGGAAAGGATGCTGACATGGCAAGGTCCTGACACGCTGGTGTGTTTGGAATCCTTGTAAACATACACCACACTTGGTGCCATCAGTGAGCAGTGTGTGCCTCTCTTGCAACACTTGTGTTGGTAGGTTGTGCATCACTTGGGCAGGGATGCCATCCTGATCTGTAACCTGCCTGAGGTCATAGAAATTATAACGCTATCATTAAAGTTTTAAACAAGAGTTTTTTTCTAGAGTCATTACATTCATTTCTGGACAAGAACTCTGTTAATGAAAGAGCACCCTTCCCAAGAGTTTAGGCATCACTGTTTTCCTCCCCAAGGGGCAACGAACAGTGACTCCTTTTTTTAAATAAATTTTTAAGTATTTCAATTAGGGACACAGATTGCTCCAATAGTTTTATAACACAGTCACTCAGAAGTGAAAATGATCTCTTGCATTCCAAGCAACAGTAACCAATGGAGGGACATGATGAGCATTAACAAGTCTCAGATTTGTGTAAATTATCAACTAAAACTTATGCAAACAAACACAAAGCACTGCCTAAATGTTTATTGCGTTAATCTCAGTAACAAGCAAAAACTGTAAGAGTCAATTTTGGCAAGCATAATTTTTAACTTTCTGTTAGCTTCAGAAAAAAAGTATACTCGATAACAGTAATTAATTTATAAAACTAAACATTTGTACAGACCTTACTGAACATAATTTTAACAGCATTTTACCTTAAAGTTTTATATTTTACTTTTTTGGCAAAATGTATATAGTAATTAATTATTTATTATTATTTTCTAAAAGAAAGTTCTACCTGTCCAGTTGTAGCAGTAATTCATAATCACCAGCAGAAATGTCACGGTTTTGTAGGTCGCTTATGACAGCATTTGGTAATGGTGTGATTCGTGTAGCTGCATGCCAACGTTCACTGGGTTTCTAATAACAAATACAAATTTAATGTAAGATTACACCTTTTGTTCTTTTCATGGAACACCAACTCTCAATCATCAAATCTTCAGAATTTATACAAATATCTGACTGAAAACAATTGTAACAATTGTGACCTATTTTATATTGAATCTGCCTCTCAAACTAAGTTGCCTTTAATTGGTTAAACAAGCATTAGGAAACTAATATGTAGCTGAATCACACATTACATGTAACCTTGTCGATGTATTACCCATTTTACAGTTATATTTTAGACATGGAGTATACTTCATAATAAATACAATTTGAATGAATGAAAATATAGAGAACTTCTAACCAGCCGAGGAAGTCACAGAATCAAATTCAATAACACAGACATGTTAGTGAGTGTTAAGATAAAAATAGAGTTCTGTGACTTCAATTTGAGGGATTAACATGTTTAAATATTCATGACATGCATTACTTACCTGTCTAAACTGGAAAGAATGTTGCATGTGGGTGTCTGTAGCAAAACACGTGTGACACAGATGGTAATCTGCACAAACGACACACCTGTAACGACAAGCTTCCTTTGAGTACAAAGCTATGACACAAACTCTATACAAACTCTACTCAGCCTGTGTGAGTGTGTGAGTGCAGATTTTTGTCTGTCTCACTAAACCCATCTGCATTCCCAGACTAGCATGTTACTACTGCATCACTGTAGACTAACAGCATCATGTAGCCATCTATGCCAACTCTCCTGGATACAGGCCGAATCTCCCAGTCTCCTGTTGAATCAGTGCCCAAATCTCCCAGACAATAAGAAGGAAAGTGCATAAGATACATTTTCCAGGCATATTTTAGCTGAGTTTTGGCATATTTTTGAGAAAATGTTTGAATATTTGACACAAAGAGTATTCACGATTTTGTGGCTTAATTGGTTGATCTTTAATTTTAGGGTTAAGAAAATAAAATTGGCAAATGTCTCCTGGATTGTGATTTTTTTAGGTTGGAATCTCTTCTAAGAATAAATGACAAGCTGTTCTTGTAGAACCTTGTTCTCAACCAAGAATCTATGCCAGTAGCTTAGAATTGTGGTCAAACATTCCATTATAATTGGATAATCACCTTTAAGTTAGTCTTCAATTAAGAAAGGTGTCTTCTTGCTTCTTACCTGTAACATTTTCCTGCTATAGGACACACTCTGCACCTTTTACAAGTTGCCCCAAGGTGAAGATCTTGTCTTTCCGCCCTTGTTTTACGTCGAGATGATTTGTGAAACTCATCCATCAATTCCTATCAAAGGTTTCATTTAATCTTATCAGAAAAGTACCCTTGATAATTATCTTAAAATAAANACTAGTGCTTCATGTCAGACTAACCTGAAAGGATCCAAAGTCCACTCTACACAAAGGGCATTTCACTATAGTCTCGCCAGTAGAGCGTTGATGCTCAGCCCAGATCTTCATACATTTTACATGCACACTGTTACCACAACCATACCTTCAAAGAAGCAAAAAAGACAATACTTGTTTGTAAATGACCAGCCTGCTCTAGAACCATTACCCCCATTGCATGAAGGCCATACTGGGGAATATTGCCATGAGGTCGTGACAGTATGGACCAGGCACAGTAAGGTCTGTACAAAACGACTGAAGACCAGTATTGTACAGTATGGCTCAAGCAAGCTAGGTTGCTAAGTAGTTTATTATGTGGCACTCCATAAAAGTTGCAAATTTTGATTTTGCTGACCTCCAAAAATGAGAAAAATACAAGGCTTATGAACATGTGTAAATGGTCTGTGTGGCAAAATCCTGACCAAGGAAGAACCAATTGGAACAGTTGGGTTTACCTCAAGACTACAGTACCTTGCCATATAATACGTAAGTTTCATTCTGACTTTCAATGTCTTTTGAGGCACAGCTTGCAGACTCACTTGCAATATGTTATTGGTTCTGGCTTCTGTAGTAATTCATCCTGACATATGGGACAGACATCTTGTTCCTCTATCTGTTTTTGTTTAAGTTTCTCTCTGCTATCACTAGCAGTCATGTCCTTCTCAGAGTTTCTCCTCTTTGCTGTTCTGCTTGACCTTGAGTAGCTTCCTCTCATCACTTCATTAATCTCACGCTCCACCAGTGACAGTTGAAAAATAACTACAATTGAAAAATTCGGATTACTAGTTGAGAAATGTATATTAAACTGTTTATTTGCAGGACAATTAAGTCATGAAAATTATGCTTCTGTGTTTTAAAGTGTTAAAAAAACACGAGAAGAAGTTTCAGAGACACCAAAAAGCTATATGAGAAGAATTATGTGGCAGTGTTTCCACATTAAATTTTATTGTCACAGATTACCTCCAGACCTAACTTTCGCAAGTAAAAACCNTGTAGAGCATGATATAATGGATATACCATCATGACTAAGCCAATGAAAATTCTTAAACTGCATCATCCAATGATATAATTTTTATTAATAATAATTATTATTACACTTCATTATATAGAAACAAGCCAGACACAAGCGTTTCACTGGAAAATACACCACTTGTAAAATTAATACGAAATTACATCTGGGACTCGGGTGGCGTATTTTCCATATCCTCACTAGTGAAGATATTGATGACTTTGCATAAATTTGTTGGTGTATGATCAAAATATCTGCGGATCTTCCTCAAAACTTCAGAAATCTTTGGAAATTTGCAGAGAATGTTTGGAAACGTTCGTGTGGTCTTTGGAAAATTCTTGGAGAATCTTCGGAAATCTTCAGAAAATGGTTGAAAATCTTCGGAAAATCGTCAAAAATGTCATTATTAGTATGTTTATATAATAAATAAAATAATACATGGTTGCTTGTGGATATGGAATATCTCTTCTTGTGTTCAACGTTATGTCTCACTCATTCGCTACACTCACTCGCGAGCTTTTGGAGCTGAACACTCAAAGAGATATTTCATATCATGCATGCCCATGTCATACCTGCCAACCCTCAGCGTACAAAAACCTGGAGACGGCTAGAATTCTTTTTGCAGTGATCCGAAATCCATGCTGGCCATCTTCGCTTCGACCAGGGCGATGTAAACAGCGTGCGAAAACCGCACCAATTCTGTACCATGTATTGTACAATTTGATTGTTTGATTTCTGACCAATTAGGATACTCGTCAAATATATATCAATTTGTTTGCTCTGCTTTACGTTTATCGATTGAGAGCAGCTCAAATAAGAGCAACAAATTCCCTTATTGTTTTATTTTCCTTTTTGAAATCTCGAAAATAACGTAATTAATGAAAAAAAAAAAAAATTAAAAAGAGCCACGGTAGGTAGTTCCTGGGAGATTTGGCGCTCTAACCGGGAGAGTTGGCAGGTCTGCCATGTATTAGCCTCTATTTAAGAAATAGGAAACATGTACTGTGTTTCTATCGAGTTATACAAACACAAGTGGAAGTTTGGGAGAACGAGAAATGCTGTGGGAACACAAGCCATAGACAAGTGTTTCCACAGCTTTTTTCGAGTTCTCCCAAACTTTCACAAGTGTTTAGAACTATAACTCGATAGAAACACGGAGAACTAAATCCCTGTATTATCCTCTATATCCTCACCAAAGGATGTGAAGACATAATTCCTTTTCCTTCATAAAAGTTTGACAAGTACAAGAATGTTGATCACCCAAAAACACCTGAGAAACAGGAAAATATCTTAGTTAATATACAGCCTATTAATCATGTACGTGTAAGTATGTGATTCTTTAGGGACTGAAACTTACAATAACCGACTGATTGTTGACAAACTTTACACGAGTCTTACAGTCAAAGTCACTGTTCCGTAACATTCATTCCACTCAACAGTTTCAACTGTCTATACCTGAGGTCTGCTGTGCACCAGCTGGTTATAAAACACACTTCAAACACACTTCAAACACACTGCCAGATAAGGGCCTGAATTATAATTTAAAACCTACGTAAGTTCAATCATACCTACAGTCGTTTGTACGAAATGAAATTCTGTCTTGAAACTTATCAAATCTAATGGGATTGCAACGCACGATAGATAAAGCTGACATCGTTAAATGCTTAGTGTTAACAAACTGCTATTAAGCTGCCTTATTAAACTGAACAAACCTTAAATTTCCGATCTAAACCATCTTGTTTCAAAAGAAACCCAGTTGGGCCTGTCTCGCGAAGAAGATAAATTCTTGCTTGGCTGGCTTCTTCGATCCTGGTTGCAACGACATCTGGGCAAAGCCTTCTCCAAGGAATCCGCCGAGCCATTGTACAGTTTATTGTTTAAGAATATTTTCGGTAATTTCGAAAGACTGTCATGACAAAACCAACCTTTGCTTTTTGCAAATTTGTTTTTGCCCCGTAATCACGCTTGCCTGGCAACGCTTTCGTGGAGGAGTGGAGGAGGACTGAAACTAGTAAGTAGAGGACAACTGGAGGACATTTTATTTCGCGTATACAACAGACAATCTGGTTGTTTTGGAAACATAGGAAGCTGATCTTGTTCTCTATTTCTGTGACTTCTTGCCTGAAATTTGACTTCGTTTTGCATCAAAAATGGCAGGGAATCGAATACATCTAAAACTGGATCATAGTGCTGCAGCTTCTATTGATCAGTACTTGGAATATCGAAGGTTTGGTAATTAACTTTTCAAAACTTTTACACAAACGTGTCTGTAAATTACTAACGGTTACACAAAAGCTAAACTTGGCTATGGAAAAATTGCGGATGTATTGCAGAGTGTAGTGAACTAAGGCTATTTTTCAGGTTAGAAGTTTCCGTTAGTTTCAGGATTCTTGAGTTTTTCTCAGTAATCATTTTGTGTTTTAGGATTGTTGGTGAAGATGATGGTGGAACACTCTTTACTCCTGAAGAATATGAAGACTACATGAAAAGAGTGTTACCCATGAGAATGAAGAACAGGCTTTTCGTTAGCTGGACAGCACCTAATGGTATGGACTGTAAGATGATCGGCCCAGAAACAATGTGTTTCTGTAATCACAGGTGAAATTATAAAATGCTAATTAAAAATGACTTTGAATGTTGAACTTTGACATACCTGTGACAAATGTAAAAGTAAACATTCAATAAAATGTTTTGTAAATCTTAGGTACAAACAGCATAAAACTGATTATGAGACAATTCCAGAGACCAGACCTATCCCAGTTCCTTGTCGTGTTAGCGGCTGTAAATGCAAGAGTTATCACTATGTACCAAAGAACAGCACGCAGCCAATCAGATGCCAGTGCAAGCACTTTGCTGATGAGCATTCAGAGGTGGTCCCATACAAGTGCTCAAAAGGCTGTGCATGTAAAAAATTTATAAGTTCCTACACCTGTGGTTGTGGGCAACCAACATATGCTCACAAGGTTAGTTCACTTTGATGTCTCACAACAGTAAATTCCATTCACCTTCTTGTGGGAGATGTTGTGGCCTAATGCTTAGTGCCCTAGATTCTGGATTGAGCTGTCTGGATTTGAGCCCCGGCTGAGATTATTGTGCTGCGTTCTCAACTTCGTAAGACCTTTATCTCTCCACTGTGTTGTAATAAATTCAACCATTTAAGGCAGGTTATGAGAACTGATAACCTGATCATGATTATTTCACTGAAAGTATCCTGAATTGAACCAAGTTCCCCTTCCTAAGGTGACTATAGAAAGTGTATGAACAATAACCAACTTCATGGTCTCTTCCTGGGTACCCTTGCCACTTCTTGTCTACCATGTTCATGTATGCAGTACAAAATGAACATGCTCCAACAGTTACTGTAACTCCAGACTATCACTCTATATGTACCTGTATATTGACAGTTATCTACTTTGACTTGGAACTGATAGAATTAACTGGCACTCTCAATTTTCCAGACAATCATTGAGACAAAGGAAGAACGCACAGCTCGTGGTCACCCTGTAGGTCATGATGTGCCTTATGCTGCTATGGGTGGAATTACAGGTTTCAGTTCACTGATGGATGGCTATATGCGCTTGGATGACAGTGGAATTGGACCACCGCCACTACATTTGCTGGAGCAGCCAGTGAGTAAGTGATCTAGTCTAACTTGTGAAGGACACAAGTGATTGTCCACATCTGTCATTGAAAATTAAGGGAAGTTACATGTAGATTCAATGTCGAGTAAGGATTTCTGTACTTTTATTAGGACCTGATGATCACCCATTCCTTAGAGCACACACTGGAATGGCTGGGTTGTCACTAGAGGATGGAATGGGGAATAATGCAGGACAGGTGGCACGCAGAACTACAGAGGAAGAAGATATGGCTTATTTTGAGAAAAGATACCAAGCAAGGGTGAGTGAACCATCTTATTCATGCAGATATTTGGCTTGTGTCAGGGTAAGTCTTGCATGTATTATGGAACCATACTTATCTGTCTCCAGTTATGGCATTATTGTTATTTTAGTTGAAGGCAGAAAAAGAGCAAGCCAGACTGCAAAGATCTCCTCAACCAAAAAGATTAACAGAGGCGGGTACTGTGCACCAGAGCACACGTAGTGCTGCCAGGAGGACTGCACCAAGTAAAGCAACATCAGCTACCAAGCCTGGTGCATCTTCCAGAAGCCCTGGGACCCAGACTGGGAGGCAGAGCCACAGAAGGTGAAACAAAGAATAGGAGGAGACGATTAACGGCACAGCGTTTTGTTTTGTCAGTCTGTAAAGGAGATGAGAGCACAATACCACGTTGGCTGTGATCCACACAAACGTGGGTCTCATGGTGAGGCTGTTTGTTCTAACAGCATGACCAGAATGAGCAGTGCAATGTGAAGACTGCGGGCCAATTTTGCCCAAACCACTGTCTTGTGAGAAAACATCAGAGGAGAAACAGTTGCCTGCAGTCTGCATTTAACTTTCCTTAACCAACATGAGTAAAGTTCATTCCAGGATCACAAACAGCAAGCAACAGTGCACAGCGTGTGTCCGTGCGTGTGACTACACCATTAAACTGTACATATGCACACATTTCCACTGGTTTTAATATCTTATTTTTAAATGAATAAAATGAAATATGCAAAAAACTGAAAATAAAATTCAAAACAAAAGAACTTTACAATGATCATTTATACTAATGAAAGTCGCATGGTTTCCTTCTACAAGACATGTACATTACTAGCAACTTTATGATAACTTCGAAATAAAGCTATGACGGGCAAAAACTCGAGATATACAACTGTTAACCAGCTTAGTTAATTACTTTTTGAAAAAGTTCGTTTTCGTGGCAGCTACTTGCCTAAAAAATCCAGTTGGCCAAGATATAAACAACAGCTGAAACAGCTGCAAGACTTAAATTTGGACAGCATCGTCATTTCTACTAAGATCACGAATATTTCCTTCAATGAGTAGGTAATTTGTTCCTCTTAGAACTACATGTACAATGAACGTGTCAAGACACCAGGAAATAAGTCTGCAAATAGCACGCGATCCACGTCACGATATGTTAAGTCGTTTCTTTGTGATCAACAGCATAATCAACGAGAGAAATATTGAAATAATGCTTTTCTTACAAAGAAAACATTAAAGGCCTCGTCCACACCACGCCGGAGGAATTTGAAAACGTAAGTTTCACTGTGAAAACGCTTCAAATGTTTTCCGTCCACACTACGCCGGAGGAATTGAAAAACGCAAAAAAATCACCGATCATTTTGGATTTGTGTTTGAGGAGAACATCACATGTTTATCGTAACGTCATCCTTTTCGAGAAAAAGCTCCGCTGTCAAAATGTTTTCCGTTCACACGAAAACGAAAAGCCGTCGTTTTCAAATTCCTCCGGTTTAAAGAGCATTTTCGAAAGGCTCCGTTTTCGTGACGGATTAGTGCGGACGGTAGGCCTAACCGAAATAAATCTGCGTTTCCAGATTCATCTGGTGTAGGGTGAACGAGGCCTAAAAACAACAAAGAAGTGAAATTAACTGTAAACGAGCAGGGATAATTGAGATCGATTATAAACGACTCTTCTAAGGAACTTATTAACGGTAAGCGTGATGACTTTGGACGATGAACCAACTGGGCCTCTGGATATCCATCGATAATTAAGAGATCATTTTGACCATGGACTTGGTGGTGGAAGGTGTTCTACAGCCATGGGTGCCAAGCAGGATCCATTCGACACAAGTTATCAGGACTAGTGGCCGCCGCGATCAGAGTTGTCACCTTGGTTTCACCGCCCTCGTATTGAGCCAGGTCTGGAAAAAAAGGAAACATAAATGAACTGCATGTAGCACCTTGTGCACGAGAAATGATATGCTGAAGACTAGGACTAAAAATAAATTTAAGTCATAAGAAATTTTATGTCTAAGACTAAAAGATACTGTCAAGGCTCCGTCCAAACTACGCCAGAGGAATTTGCAAACGAAGGTTTCACTTTGAAAACGCATCAAATGTTTTTCGTTCAAACTACGCCGGGGGAATTTAAAAACACAACAAAGGCAAGTCATTTTGGATTTGTTTGAGGAAACCTCGGTCAGGGAGATCACATGGTTATCGTTACACTATCGTTTTCAAAAAGTTCCGTTTCCGAAATGTTTTCCGTCCACACGAAAAACGAAAATCCGGCGTTCTCAAATTGCTCGAAATTGTCGAAAAGCTCCGTTTTCGTGACGGATCTGTGTGGACGCAAGGCCTAACCGCAGAAAGACAGCTGCGTTTTGAAATTTCTTCAACGAAGCGTGGACGCTGGCTTAGATTGTGCTCACAAATATTAATAAAGTTTCGTTGGTTTTTTTGCATGTCTTGTATCACTTACTTTGTAATCTTGTGGTGATAGCAGTAACAGCTCCATTCACGAGTGTAATCAGTAACTCACTATCCATGTCAGTTGGTGGGTTAGTCAGGGGGAGGGAGTGCGTCTCGTCTTGTTTCTGCATCCAAAAGAAAGCGTGTTACATACTGTTAACGTGGTAACTTAAAAAGCGCCAGGCCTTTAAATATGATCTATTTTGACAGGGTTGCAAATCTCATGCATGACATTTGGAAAGGATTAGCCCCTTCGCCTATCAGAGCTCTTTTCACTAGGTCAAATGAAATACACGGGTACAACTCAAGGCATGCTGCAAAAGGAAATTATCTTCGGAAAGAGGTGAAGCTGGAAATTTCAAACGTTCATTTTCGAGAACTGGAGCGATATTATGGAATTAAATTTCTCCAGACTGGAGAGATATATCTAAACCAATCTTTAAGAAAAACATTCGCGCATTTTTATTTGAGACTCTTTCAGATAGGGATGACTGTGTTGAAGTTGACACACTGACGCAAATTCTTAAATTTAGTGCCTGATTAATTTTAACCCATGCATCATCGTTCAGCTTATCTCTAACATCAATAATTTCATAAATCTTTGCCTAAGTAGCTGGAAAGTAAGCTTATTGTATACTAATGGTATAATATAAATATAGATGTGGCCCGCCTAGATTAGCCTAGACTACATGCGGATTCATGCTGTTAATATGTTTAAGTTTCTAACTTAATTATTTGTAATAATGAAGTGTAGATGTAAGACAACTCATTAACCTAAAATTCATGGCTGTAAATTAATGAAAAAGGAATAGAGTTTCGTTGTTGTTGTTGATCATTATCTTTCTTGTCACAGTGGAGGACGCAGTTCTTTGCTACTCGATAAAGCCTGATTGACTTCGATATATATATTTTTTTCGTTTCTTAGCTTATCAAAAACCAAGTAGAGCCGAGATGCGGTAATGCTGTAAGTTTAGTTCCACGTACGGTTGTCGCCTCTTCAGCTGGCTCAAAAGCTTAGAGAACGCATCAAAACTACAAGGGATGTTTTAGGTGAACAACTCATTACAGAGTATAACGTTTATGTTAGAGTAGCTGACGAACCTTCTTGTGCCAAGCAATCATCTCGTCTCGTAGCACCGCCCTTAACACACTCTGTACGCTGAAGTGAGGCTCAGCTAAACACCGCGCGGCGGACACAATAGCCGCTGTCATCACTCCATTCACGCCGACCGGCGTCACGAACTCGGCAATGTTCGGAGTGAGTCGGAAAGGTACGGGACGGTTCGCGTCCAGTTCACCTTGGATGTAAGAGAACAAACATTAGGGTTGATGCATCAGGGTTAATTACACAAAGATTTACCACATCGAAAAGCCTCACCTTTAGTGTCGTCAACCTCAAAGCGACTATATGAGACAGTAAGTCGACCTGAGTCCTGTGCAATTTGAAGCATTTCCGGGCCCAGTCTTGTCAGGTGTAATATGAACTCGGCAAAACCGGACAGAGCCAGTTGAATAGAGAGCTGGACAATGAAAAAAGTCATCGTTAGTTTTACGATTAATTTTGGCACGCGAGACGCACTGAGATGTTTAGTGTACCTGTTTCCTGAAGGTCCAATAGTCTGAAGGGTCCTGATAAGTGTACTGGGCCCATTCTTTTAGAAGCACTTCAGGCACTAGCGTGAGCTGCACCTCTTTAAGAATGTCCCTCAGGACCTGGTGAGTCACCTGACAGCCACGTGATTGCACGGAAGCGAGGCGTTCGTAGTACAAGGCAATTGGTGCATCAGATTCCACGTGCTTCTTATCACAACGCTACAAGGAAAAAAGTGGTACGAGGTTGAAGAAAATAGTCTGAAACTTTCGCCGATCTCAGATCTCTGTATCGTTTCTCGGCGGTCAGTAAAACCCACCCTACACCATCCTACAATAGCGTAAAATGGATTCGTTTGGTTCACGTGAGAGGTACTCGTGACCGAGGCGAGAATACGAAACAACTGGAAAAACAATGCGTTATATGCTACACAGAGTAGCTCTAACTAACCTCAGTAAGGATTTCTCTGAGAGAGATGAACGATGGGTTGTCCTGAAAAAAAAAACAACAACAAAAAATTATTAATAAATTTACAAAATAACAAATCTTTGTAAAGATTATTACATTGTGACTTCCCATACAACATCATATGAGTTTAATACCTCTATGAGTCGCATTTGAGGCGACACAGCAACAACGCGTGGAACAGTGAATAAAAGATGCCTCTTACAGGACTCCTAAATGAAACAGAAAAATTATGATAGTAATCAGTTTTGATTCCTGTGCCGTTTCTTCGTCATTGTATTGAGGGGTTTGCTCGGTCGAAAATCAAAAGAACGTTACCCGAACATTTGAAGAGTGGGGTGGGTGAGGACCCATGGCACGTCCATGCACCATAAGATTTTGGACCCCAGCTTGCTTATCACAGGTGTAATGTTTGGAGAGGGGAGGGCGAAGTTTTTAAAGACATTCCCTTTTTCTCTGTGACATGGGCCTTTTTCATATTTCCAGCTAAATGATTCTCACCTTTCTCTTCTCTAAATAAAGATTCAGAAGCCGCAATAACTGGAGAATTCTCTCTTCTCTTCTTGATTCTGTCATACAAGCATCGTTCACCACAAGATATGGATAGATCTGAAAAAAAGTTGAGCTGTTTCAGCGTATGTCTTGGCTTTCTATTCAAAAGAGAAGTAAATGTCTCCTGGTTGAGATGAAATGCCGCTAACAAATCTTCTATTTAAAATAAATTGTGTATCAAAAAATCTCATCATCAAGCGACAAAGCTAACATGACGTCATATACCTTTCCGTTGTTGCCCCTGATGTACAAGCGTCTGGCGGAAAAGTTGTGTTTCTGGACAAGTTCAACTCGCGGCATAAACCGAGCAATTCTGATGTAGTATGGGCTATGCTGTGGAAACAAAATATTTTAAATTAATTGTCATTCTTCCGAGACTGGACTTAAACAACACGAGAATATATAACCAAAAAATCAAAGCGCTAGTATCGCCAGGGCAAATTTTACAAATAACCGAAATAATGACAAAGAAGTTTTCGAGAGAGGAAACAGCTAACCGTGTTGGCCTTGGGCATAAGGAACTCGCCAGGAAGTTCCACTTCTGCTGTGGATGTTGTGAAATTACTGAGGAAGCGACATCTTTCTTCCAAGAGAAATGAACTAGAAAAGAACAAGGACTTTCTTGATTAACAACATGATCAATGCAAAAAAAAAAAAAAAAAAAAANCGCGCATTGACGGCAGTCGCGGAAAAACATCTAACCGCGCAAAAACGGGCTGCAAGCGCGGGAAAAATGGCGCAAGCTCAATCAGGATTGGCTTAGGTTTGCATCTGATTGACTGAGAAGGAATATCCTCGCTCTGATTGATTGGGGTATGTTGTTTATGACAGGATTTATGACCAAATATGGAACTGAGTGAAACATACATAAAGTTCTTTCACACTCGTCACTGGGAAAACCACGATTTGGTATTAACTAATGTGTCTTACTTTGGAAGAAGTTTAGCTTTCTCCTCGAGAATCTTGATCCACTTCTTTAGTTTCCCAATCAAATTGTGAAGCCCCATGGCGCCTGGTTGACTAAACAATAAAGAAAATGTCAGGTGTATACTAACAGCTTTCGCCCGCTCTATCCTCTTGAAGATTTGTTTACATTCCTGTGTGTTGAAAGAGTTGTCAACAGGGATCAAAACATGCTCTATTACTACTAAAATATTTATAACTTGAGCAAAATTTTCCGATGTGGTATTTCACTAATGTGGGGGAATAAAATGTTGATATCATATATCATACTTGATCGTCAAACTCGTTATATCTCGTTAACAATAGTTACCTGAAGTCAAAATCGATAGAAAACTGTTCTTTCAGCCTCTGGAATACTGGATCTTGAGCCGTAGCCTGGGCCCTTCTAGCCAGGGACTCTGATGCAGCTGATGAAAATGTGCTTGATACACTTGAGGCCGACTCAAATCCGATCCCGAATGTGCTGACCAACTTCTTCACAAAACTCGATGTGTGAGGCGTGACACGGGCGGCTGCAACTGTGTGAAAAAGAAAACGAACCATAGCAAAAAAATTCCCTCCTTCATTAAATAAACGGATAATTTTTTTTGTGACCAGGGAACACTAGTGCTGAGTGAAAAATCCCATTTCTGGCAACTCATTACTGCATCACCTAAGAGTTGTCCAATTTCGAGTCTAATTATCAAATCATAATTAACAACAGAATAAGAGGATTGTTTACCATCTCCTCTTGTCTCAAATGCCACTTGATAACATTTTGTGAGTCCTTGCCGCAGCTGTCTCAGTACTTCCTCGTGCCAGCACTCTCTGAACCACACCATCTATGAGCAAATCACATACACATTCTACACGAGCCTCAATACAGAGTTAGACGATGTAAACAACGATGTTTGTGGTTTCGTTTGTGAATTTTACTGACTGCTTGTACCATGTTACGTAGCAACTCGCATAATTCGTCAGGTGGCAAAATCCACGAGACTTAATCGGACTTCAACTGCAAATTCATTTAGCTTACTCGTTTAAAAACAGTTAATCAAGCAACAACGAGGAACATAGCAAAGCAAAGACCTTTCTGAACGTGTTGGTTAGTGTACAGATGTACCGAGAACTACAATTACACCTCATGAATGTAAACATGTACCTGATCGACGACCCCTTCAAGGGCTGAGAGAAGAGTTGGATGAAGGTCCCTCAGAAGGTGCATGATCTTACTACAGCGCCACATCTGAGCTGTGGCTCTGATCGCTCCAGGGTCACTCTGACTGCTGGCTGGCGTGGCGCCTGTGAACAACACTGCACTTTGAACATTTACAACATCTTTTTCATTTCGTGTTTCTTAGCAATTGATAGTTCGTTAATCATTGTTTTATAAAGAAGACGTAAAAATCGATTATTTTTTTTTTTGCTTGAGATCAAATGAAACAAAAACAAATTATCCATTAATTAAAATCAAGAGAAAACGAAATCATGATCCCTTGTTAATATGTATCTAGGGACTAAAATCACCCAATCTGAACTCTTTTGGCAAAATAAAATATAAATGTAGTCACAATGACATGATATGGATACAAAAGGTTACTAAGCAACCTCGAAGGAAAATCGCGAGTACACTCATTATAAGGAGACTGACTGTCCACTGTGGGGTGTCTATTGTCACCTTACCCATCCCCTGTGGGATGCATATTGTTATCTTACTCGTCCCCTATGGGGTGCATATCGTTATCTTACCGGTTCCCTGTGGGGTGCCTGTTGTAGTTGGAGTGGTGGAGCCGGCAGTTGTGGAAGTTGCCGCAGAGGTTGCTGGAGCCTGTTCAGTGGCAGTAGGAGTCGTTGGAGCAACAAGAGCAGTCGGTGTTGATGGTGTTGTCTTAAATGAACAACAAACAACACTGCTTGACAAGAAGATACTCAATGATATACTGAATATAAAATCAGTTCACATAAGATTTTACTTACCGGAGTGACTGCTTTTGAACCTGCTGCTTTGTCTGGTGTGGAACAAAGAAAAAATAATTTATTTTATCATAATTTTCTACGATTTGAAAAAAGGACACTATTGAGAAGACTATTCAACTAGGCAACGGGGCAAAACGAGAACTTATTCATACGCCAGCGTCAATTATCAAATTATTTTATTTTTTCCGGACGAAATAGCTTTTAGTTTCTAGTTAAAAAGAAAGATTGTAGAATTCTGTGCGTCAAACATGAAGCACCAAAGCTAACGTGATCACGAGTAGAGCATGGCAGCATACCATGTATTGAAGAACTGACTGGTGCTGAACCAGCACTTCTGCTTGTTGTCGACGCGGACGCTGTACTGGTTTGACCAGTTTCGGAACCAGTTGTACTGGCTTTCACAGCGGCTGGAGTCGCGTTTTGTGATTCTGTAGAGGCGGTGGTGTTGTTGCCTCCTGTGGAAGACCGCTGACTTGTAATGACTGCTGCGGCAGCCTCCATTTTGTCTGGAATTTAAAAGACAGTTTGGCAACTTTTTATCTATTACTAATACGTTATGTTTCTTTTCCAACTCAACTTTTGTGCACATAAAGGAAGTAAAAAATGAGGAAAAAAGCGACCACGGTAGGTACGATTTAGTGTCAGATTGGAGAAAAGTTTGAAAAAATAGTGCGTTTTTAGGTGAACCTCCGCCTTAATTTACAACACTTACGTCTCTCTCGCTGTTCAATCTTCCACGTTAGGTACAATGTCCTAATTGGGAAATACATGGCCTAGAAAACAAATATAATATAAAATGATAAACTCACAATAATCATAAGATTGTCATAAGTAACCAAGCAAATGAACAAGTAATTCACTTGGTATAGGAGAATCTTTGTTTACAATATTCGTCTCTTTAGGATAAGCGATGCAGTTTCTGATGGAGACACAACAACATTAGTTCTGAATACCGAGAGGACACAGCACGATTTACTGTTCCAAGGAATTTGAGCCCGATGTATAGAACACTTTGTGTGAGATGCGGGTTTAAAAACTCAAAATTTAAAAAAAAATGTATGAGCCCATTAGCGCTTTTGCCACCCACATATTTTACCATTTTTGAAAGCAAATTTCTCTTTCAAAATTACACACAAAGAGCCAAACATTTCACCAATTACTAGGTTTCACAAGCTATGTTTGAAGTCAATTCGTGTAAAGCGTGACGCCTTCTCTGTAAACAATGACTTCAGCATAAGATTCTCCTGTAAACAGCGGTCAACTTACCTGAGGATGAACTCGTCCAATGTTACACAGAAGGTTCAGGATCTTCTGACCTTCACGCCGAACTAAACACGTCAGCAGTTGAGGAATCCTACAGAAACACACAAACGATAATGAAAAAACAAACCATGCAATAACAAAACATAACTAGAGAAGACAGGCGAGTTACTATTACATACCAAGGCAGCCAGTGAACCGGGGGGACACCAACACAGTATTTGTCCACTGCTTCCGAGATAGACCCCTGTGAGAGATGACAGACAAGCTGTTAGCATCACAAACGTGTTGAAACAAACAAAAATCAAACACACCCGAACAAAACAACAAAACAAAAACAAAACAAACGGCTCTGTCACAATTTGCAAGTTACGAGATCGCAGTGGGCAAGTGAATCAGTGCACAATCGATCAATAAATAACTAGACACTAGTTCTTTCCATTATCGAGTAAACAATAAGCCATATACAGCCTCATATCAGACCTTTTCGTCATCATACGTCATAAGCCAGATAGTCCGCGCCAGATATTTGCGGCACTTGGCCTCGTTTTGGTGTCTACAGGCGTGAAGATAACAAACAATGGCTGACACCCCCAGCTGCATGTTCCTATGACAACAAGATAACAAACAAAATAGCAATAAGCACGTTGGTTACCTGTTACCTTGATCGTTTCTTCATTGGTTTAACGTCATTTCCTCTCACATTCTCACGAGTAATAAAGCAACTCCATTAAAAACAATAATAGAAGGCATCTTCTCACCTCTCCAGCACAAACAGACCATCAAGGTAGTCTCCCCACAGGGCCCAGGCCTTCACGAGCGAATCCTGCATTTGAACAGCTTGCGAGAAAGCTTTGTTTGCATCTTCAGACCTACAACGACGCCATTAGCAAACAGTCTTAGCCAGGTTACTAAACTCAACGGAAACAAAGTTTTACGAAATAGTCCGCGCGCCGCCATGTTTTTTTTTTATTTTTGTAAACTTTAATTCTCGCGCGCTATCTCACGACCACTCGGGTGACCGCGTGATGACTCGCGCTGAACTGCGCTAGAGCCCAGGCGTCTCACGGAAATACTACTGTTTTCAGCCACCTTAAACATTGCCAATTAACATTTGTTCCCCTCCCCTATTTCACCACGGCTTGATTTACCTGCCAATATGTGCGAGGAACATTCCTTTGAGGGCAAAGAACTCAGCCGTCATTTCCTTGGAAAAGTATTTTAGATTCGTGGACTCGATAACTTCAAGACCCTGCAAGAAGAAAGAAAACAAAGTAAATCCTTAGCAGCTCCTTTAGGATGATTTGGAGACTTCACACTACAGCTTTGAAATATATTTAAAAACACTGTTACAGTAAATGAAAATACCGATAAGCAACTAGAAAAACGAGAGCCAAAAATTAAGCCTGATAATTTAAACTTTGTTACTTGAAAGATGTATGACCAAATGGAGACAAAATCTTGTAACATCAGACTTAAAACTGGAGTCGTACTGTAGCGAATGAAAAAGTTCAGTTCTGCAAAGTAACTGTTGGTTAAAGGTGCAGTTCTATTGTAACGAACAACAATTGATTACCGGTAAGTCCGTTTTGATTACATAAAAAATAACCTTCAAACTGAACAACTCCTAGCTGAACATTAGTTTACTAAGGGTGCAAACACCACCGAAGTTAGAGCTATACAAATGCCGCTAACCTCTTGTAACTCTTGCTTGCCCATGCCGCCAGCCATCTGCAGGTAACATTTAACCTGTTGTCTGATCTTTTGGAAACAGTCCACGATAGGAACGCTGGGAATCGTGTGGATTCTGAAAAGAACATTTGGCGTGAATTAACCGCGTTGTTTGGTTTGTCATGTTGGCTAGCACAAAATGTCCGCACAAACCTGCTCAGCGAGTCCAAACACACTCCCGTCAGGCCTTGCTTTCTTGCTATGTAACCATAATGAATAATGGCCCAGGCAGAGGCGTGGACACCAAGCATGGAGTGGTTACTCTGCTGCTTTGTAAAAAGCCGTTGTTAAAATATGAAGTATGATGCATTATTTAGCTTCAAGGATAACTTAGTGAAACATAGAGCATCAGAACAACTGAACAATTACAGCAAGTGGAGGAAACAAATTGAAATGGTTTAAGAAAAATCAGTGACTAGTTTCTGTCATGAACACGAACCACTAAACGAGAATGAGTACAACGCTTTCTATGGTGTTGTTGTTGTTGTTGTT